TTCATACACATTTATGATGCTATCCTTATTTCCCTTGCCAGTGCAGTTGTTGTCCGTCATAAGTGGTGATAAGGTACCTCCTAAGTCATCGCTTCTGTCTTCAACAACTGACCAGTTTCGAGAGATTATATTTCGGGCTAGGGTTGATGTTGGATGACTGCGGTTTGATCTGTGCACAGAGGTTAGAATTTTCCCTTTGATACTAGCACAACATCTTCTAAGGGTTGGAATGAGTTGATGTGTAAGCTATCAAACAAATGTTTCTGAAGTAGCGTTTTTGTGGTAGCATCATGAAATTTTCTCAACCTTTATCATTCGAGTACCCAGTTGACAATTAAAGCAACTGAAAGCTAGGTAGCATTCCTCGGGTTTCTCTTATACCTTAAGAGGAACTATGACCTGAGTCGAGCTTCACTTAGCATTAGCTTTACTTGACCTCAAGCTACTTTTGGTTGATCCAAAATGATACCAGCTGGCTTGATTCGATTTCGTTTTCAAGACATTCTTTCAGAATTTGTTCATGCTATGCTGTTTCGAACGGTGCGATTGGATATAGGCATTGAAATCTCGTGTTTATGCGAATATTGGTTTGATTGTTCTATTGCGTTGTTGTTGTTTAAGTGGTTATTTGGTGTTGCTGTTTATGTGATTGTTTCGTGTTTTCGTGCGTTCATCACCGTGTTCATCCTCTCGTTCATCATTATCGTGTTTTTGATGCTGTCACGCCAGGCATAATGGAGAAAGACATTGCCAGGCATGGTTTGGTGGTGTTCCATGAGCGAGATAGAATCTCAAAGTGCATAGGGGCCCCGCACAAACCCCCGGGTACAATTCGACGTCACATGCTAAGGCCCAAGTTTGATGCTCTTGTCTGGAAATAAGCTCACAGCTTTGCTGAGATTAGGATAAATTTGAAAATATAAATGTTGCGTGGCGTGACGGATGTATAAATGTTTTTCCACGTGTGACCACACATTACACCGAAAATCCACAAGCTGTCAGTATCTTGAGTTTCCCTGAGTTTAGAATTGTCATGACAGCAGCTATTGGTTGTTGTCTTACCACGATTGTTTGCATCGCAGTTAGCAAAAAAAAACAGAAAGGGTTTTCGAAATATCGATTTGAGAAGCAGTTTTGAAAATGTGCTAATGCAAGAAACTCTTACGATTAGTGATATAGCAAGATATGACTGAAAGGATTAATAATATGAAATGATTATTCACAGGATTTGTTCATGTTATCTTGTGTTGGATTGTCAGATTGGATGTAGGCATTGAAATTTCATGTTTATATTAATATTTGTTTGATTGTCCCGTCGCTGTTCTTGTTGTTTATGATTATTTCGTGCTGTTTTTGATGTGATTATTTCGTGTTTTCGTGCCTTCATCATTCTTTTTGATGCTGTCGCGCCAGGCATGATGAGGGGAACCTTGCGAGGCATAGTTTGGTGGGGTTTCATGATTGAGACATAATCGCAAAGTGCGCAGAGAAACCCGCACAAACTATTCGGATTTCACATGATAGGAACAGGCTCAATTTTGAATCTATTGCCGAAACGTAAGCTCATAACTTTACAGNGCGCGACAGCTGCATAAACGTTTTTTCACGTGCTACCACACATCACACCGAAATCACTCGCAAGGATATATGAGTACCGGCTCAGGATTGTCATGGTGGCAGCAGTTGTAGTTAGTTTGTGGCGATAAGTTTGAGGGAATTCAGTTGCTGTACAGGTTGGTGGTCTTACCACGATTGTTTGTACCGCAGTTAAGAAAGAGAAACTTAGAACTGACAGGATTTTCGAAATAACGATTTGAGAAGCAATTTAGGAAATGTGCTAATACAACACACTGTTAGAGATACAGCAAAATGTGAATAAAGTGACTAATGGTAGATTGAGGAACATTTCATGATAAGATCGTCACACATATCTTAAGGCATGGTAAAACAGATCTGGAGGAATGATCTAGATTGTTTCGAAAAACATGACAGTATGACAATGAGAAACAAATAAGGAGTCTCGAATAAGATGATGAATTCTCTCGAAAGGAAACAGAGTTTATGAAAAACAATTCTTTAAATGTCGTTTATCACAGAATAGGAATGGAAAAGGAATATAGCGAATAGGCGTTTATAGTATGACGTTTAATGCAAGCGAAAGTAAATTCTATGATGAGATCAGATGGCTTCAATGACCATTAGTGTTTGGTAGTTAGAGGTATGCACAGAAAAAGCTGCCGCCTATGACTTCTGCTCAATTTTTTCCTTTGTGTAGAGTGTGTCATCGAAAAAACCGGTTTCTCTTCGGACGCCGTGGGTGAGGTTTCGTATCAAAATATTGCATGGTATCTGGTTTGCAAATTTGAATTTGAAATTGCAAAAATTTGCAAATTTGAAAATTGAAAGGAAATGAACGATTAATCCTCCGAATAATATAATATAAATCGGTTGGTTTCAGTGGTGTTTAGAAGGAGGTTGTTTTCATAGATCTGAATAGATTAGGTTTGAGATTGATCAGAATCATGTTGATTATTTATTACTGCAAGGTGATACTATTAGTGTACAGTTTGATGCAATGATATTATTCGCTGATTGCTATTCAGCGTCGAGAAATTTGAGAATGCCTGAGCGTAGTCCAGATGGTCTTTCTTTAGTTTATAAGCATGACAAGGCTTACAAGTTGTGATCTAACACTTACAAAATAAGATTATATTAAATAATAAATTAGCATCTATCATTCTTCTAGTAGTGGACAGTGTATATAGATGAACTTTGATTAGCATACTACATCTAATAGATGTCTCTCAGGTTCTCAGGTCATGGGAATCACGCCATAAGAACATGATTTTGCCTGCTTTCGACGCTGCTTTATCCGTTTCCGATCGGTTTCAACCTCAGGTTTCAGTTAACAACAATTTAGAGTTCGACATTCACACAGTAGGAATTGCATTCTTCTTAGAAACGTTTGATCGACTCAGTGGACTCACTCGATTGGGCACAATTGCTGAGATTTATCATGTCGCTCTTCAAGCTATATGCAGCAATTCAGGCTTCATATATGCTCACGCTTTCTGAGTACCCTGATCAATCTCTATTCAAATCTGATGAAGGAAATACAATTTTGTGTATTTCTTTGATAAAAGAAATAAGAGTGCAAAACATGATGAAATTTATGAACAAAACAATGGTGTGATATGCATTTTTCTATGTCAAAGGACTAATAACATGCAAAGCTAATATCAACTTTCAACATTATTAATACATAGAAGCCGATACAATTTCGCAGATACAATATCATCAAATCGAGATACATAGTTAGCATATTTTCGCATAAGGAAAACCGTTTCATGATCCTGAATAATAAAGGATGCGAACTCCATCAGGACCAAATTCTGGTCTCTCAGGTGTTGTCGGTTTGGCAGCCGGGCCTTGGGCTCCTGCAGAGCCTCCGGCACCGCCGTACGGATCGCCACTACCGGCTGGTCCTTGTGGTGGCATCACCTTGCCAGCGTCACCTCCGTATCCATCGCTTGGTGGATGTGGAATCGGGTGTGGATGTTCATCGGTATGACCGAATGATATTGGTACTGGATATGGTTCGCCGTGATGAAATGGCGATTGACGACCGGAATGGCTAAATTCAGAGACCGAATCTAACAGTTCCTGTATCTGAGTGTCACCATGAGAACAACAGTGATGATGGTGAGGATGATCAGTTAGATAAGATGAACGAAATCCAATATCGTCAGGTGCATTCGATCGAAAACCAACAACAATAGTTTCCGAAGATTTACATATTCCGGTCTGAAATTATACAGTCATTTGATGTTGATGCTCGAAATGCACCGTTTTTCAGTAATTGCACGTTTGATCTATATTGATCATTGGAGCAGTCAATATTCTTCAGTGGTGCTACTTTGCAGGATCATTTAGAACTGTTATTATTGAGGAACTTTTTTGCAGTAAAATTATCAGTTTTAAGGAAACAATTCTGACTGGTGATAATGACACCGATAGCAATTCAAAAAGTTCACCAAATTTTANATGAAAATGAAAAACATGACAAATACCCTGTATGATCCACTCTCAGATATAACTTGATCCACATGCAGATATTCCTCTTCACCGGACATATTTGCGTGCTAAAACTAACCACAGCAACATGAACACTTCAAATAACCAGAAAGGTATTGAAATAATGCGAATATAAACCGATAATTCTACGTTTCAATCGCAAAAATCATTAACATTCAGCAGTGGAAATCACACATGCTCAACGTCAACCAGATAACATTGAATAAAAGCTCGAAAACTTTTAGAGAGAAAGAAACGAGGAGCAGTTCATACACAAAGGACTTTCGAGTAAACTCCTAAATAATCTTTTCAAAACTAAATCTTCTTTTGAGAGGTTTGTTAAAAACTGGAATTTCAATGCTAGAGAATAAATGAAACACCAATATAAAGATGAGGCAAACAGCATTCAACAAAACCTAGCGAATGTGATTCTGCTGAACGGTTTAGAAATGACTGCTTGTATGGTTTGAAGCACTTTCATTGTGTATTTTATAGAACATTTTCGAAAGTTGTTGTTGTCTATCGCTAAAACCAAAATCAATACAGAAAAATAATGATTTCGCAAACAGCATTAAGAATCAGTTTCTAAAAAATCAACCACAGGAAACAGATTCTCTCACAATAATTCATCGATGACATTGTACGGATGATTCATTGTTGACTTATTAATCCATACAACGAATCAGCAGCTACCGTCACAATTGATTGTTACTTTCTTTTTATTTCAGGAAAGAACATCAAACATTATTCATCGAAATGATATTTCACCATTGTTGTATCAGTCAAGCACAAACTACTGATTTTGTTGAATCATTATTATTATTCCGTCATCAGCTTTGCGTGATTTTGTAATGCAATGAATTTTGAAGGTGATTAAATGAAAACATATTCGAACAAGTCTTTTCAATATGCTCTCGAATCGGGGTTCGATTCATTGAAGGCATGGAATTGCTAATTATTTTCAAATTGAATGCATGTTGCAGTCGAAGTCATCATCATACATGTTATGAGATTGGTGATGATCCATTCAGTGTATTTGATCTGTATCAGTTCTTCCGTAAATCTTAGAATTGATGATAACTACACGAAGAGATATATGAGCAATCCCGAGTAACCAACAGTAGAGAATGAGAAAATTTCTGGACATCATTCGAAATGAATGAAAAGCTGATGGAAAATGGTCGATAGATTGAGAGCAATGAGGGAACCTTATAAACAGAATGAGAACTCCTGAGAGAAATATCAGTGTAAGAAATTTCGGTGAGTAAAGACGTAACTGCCTTACATTACCCATATTGCAAGAGAACTTCAAACGTTGGTAACGAACACTCAGGGGTAAATAAACAGATGAGAAATGGTGAATGCTTCAACATTTCAGTTAGGGTCCATCATATCAATAATTCCTCCTGGAGAATATACCTTCTCAAGGTTTAACTTCTACCAGTTGTATTGTAGAAACCATCCGACCTTTTATTTGTAAAAAAACACAACATTTAGCAACGTTGACTGAGTATTACGATGATAATATGATCATTAGTAGTGTTTTAAATGAAGAGTAAAGAATCACAAATAACAATTGAGTATATATTGATAGATGAATTTAAATTTTCAATGTATTGTCATCGTTGTTATCTGCATCACTGCTGTAATTTTCCTCATAATCTGCTCCTACGTTGACTGGTATCCATTTCGATTGGTTTCCACTAGAACCACATTTTGAAATCAGTGAAGCTCCCTGAAAAATAGCTTATCTGTATGAGGTGTTGACCAGGTATTATTGGTATTATTGCATTTTTTGGCGACCTTATTTGATTACTTTTCACATGATGAATAGCGGTTTGATTAGGTTCAAGAGATGCTGGTGATTGTTAGTTTGGAACGTGAAATGACAACTTCATAGAAAGTTTGTGCAGACTTCTACGAAATCTCAAAAATACGTCAATTGTATCGGTTATGCTTGAAGAGAATGCGATGAAGCATCAATATTCCTTCATGGAATCAGTTATTGATCAACGTCGCCATTCTGATCTACTCAGCGAATTGCAACAGAAGAAGGCTTATGATTAAGAAGCATCAACAAGTGACCTTTCTGTTGAATTCAAGAAGAATTTCACAATCATTTGGTCCTTTCAAATGGTAACTTCTGCCATCGTTCTGAACCGAATACCTCAGATGTCCTCTGTTCACCCCACTACCCACAT